ATGAACAAGAAGGGCAGCCTCGGGGGAAACCCCCAGATTTGCATCTGCACCAAGAGTCTTCTTTTGACTGATGTTTAGAGTGCTCTGAAGTTTCTGTGGAAGTAGAAATGCAAAGTGGGCAGAGGAAACAGATCCACAATGGGAAAAATTCAAAAATTCCCAATTCATTCACCCTGAGAAGTCCTTAGTGTGTGGTTCATAGTCACTTCCCAGCACGTGACAACAGGACTGCTTTTCACAGCTACCTTTTGACAACCCTTCAGAAGTAATCCATGATCCCCAAGTGGCTGCAGACCACAGGTCAGTGCACTGGTTTTTGAGTATATGGCCTAAATTCAAGACAGGTGATGAAAAACCAACAGTCCAGCCCAAAGTATGCCTATTTCAAAACCTGTCACAAAGGAAAGTACATATTTGCTTGTTTCACCAGCAATTCTATGCAACAAGATATTGCACTTAAAGATACTCAACCATGTTTTATAATAAAAGTGGACACTGGACATCAATAGAGAAAAACTTCATCTCAGCACATGGCCTTCATAAACACAGCCAGAAACTCTTCAAAAAGATTGAATCACAAACTCTCTCCCAAGATATGCAAACAGCATTTAAAAAAAGACTAGTTCTATTAAATAACTCACATGGCTAAACTCCTCCATGTAATAGGCATGGAGTTCTGCAGATTCTCCAACATTACATAGTAAGGATCTGCTCTGACACGCAAGCTGAGGACTATGATTTCAGCTACCCGAACAAAAAAAAACCCCTCTGTTAACCATAGAGAAACTGATACATATAATTAAAAGCTGATTTAGTGTTACAATATTTCTCCTAAGGCAGGGAACTTAGTTCAGCAATTTCCTCTTTTAATCTAAACCAGCTAATAGCTGGCAGCTCGGGCAGAGGAGGACAGATTAGCAGAGAGTGAGCTGTGGTAGAAGTCATTTTACCAGACTTCACAAAACCAAGCTCCAAGTTTCACCTAACAAAAGGAGAGAAAGTACGTGCAGCGTCCACATAGGCTTCACCTTGCACAAGAATTTCCTGCACAGGATAGCAGTAAGAATCTCACCTCTGGTTTCTACAAGCAAAGCTCTCGGCTTTTGCTGCTGGCTCTTGCTGCTGAGTTGACAGTCGGAAGAACCACTACATGGAAAGTGCCAGGATAAACAGGCCTTCACATTACTTCTTACTTGCAACCTGCCATTACTGCCAGTAGCAGTTTTTCCAGTGTTTGAGCTCCAATTGCAGGGAAATCCTAATCAATCCCTTAAGCAAACAAGCAGCAATGTTTCTTCCCAAACAAGGGTCTCTGCCATTTTTCAATGCATACCTAAATTTCCCTCAACCCCCACAAATCTTACATCACTCTAGTCAGTGTTGTTTTAAGCTGTTGACAGGAAAGAAGTGCTGACTCCCAAATCGAGGTGACTGGAAACTCCTCAGGATTGAATATCTGAGATTAGAAATGGGTATAAAAACAGACTGATCAGACCATCACCAAAGTACTGATGCACACAATCAGGAAATTATTTGTATTTTGAAGTCTCAGATTTGCAGCATCTCAGCCCATTGTGTCAGTTTAAGTCCAACCCCCTCCTGAGCAATAAGGGCTAACACTACTGTGAAAACCAACAGCAATAGCTTGTGTGTCAGAGCAGCATCGGGGAGGATGTTATTCTGCTGTTCCTCAGGAATCTAATCAGATAGAGTTAAAATGAACTGTAAATAAAGAAGCTGAGCATTGACTAAAGTTTTTCCAAGTGGTGGAGTAGGGACTGGTCAATGTCAGGTACAGCAAACTCTCGGGGGTGACTTTATCAGATTCCTTAGGTCCAGAAGAGGCAGCTGAGCAGCAAAGTGATAGTAAAAAGCAAAAGGAACTCCTCTTCACACGAGGTTAGATGCTAGACACTTACTCCATAGCTAAACATCCGAGTACTTCCTTCATGCCACTCTCCCACATAAACAACGGCTGTTTCTGGTGTCAGACACTGTGTCAGCAGACACTGAGCAGCAGATTCACAGTCTGCAATAACACACGGCTATGCAAGGCCAAGAGGAGCTGGCACTGCCCCATGGGCTTTACGGATGTGCACGGTGTGTGTCCGGCCTGGGGCCGGAATGTGGGATCACTCCGGTCGGTGCCGGCCACACTGGAACCCCAAGCTCCCGGATACAATACAGAGCTCGTGGCTCCTGTCCAGGAGGGGAAACTCCAGCTCCTCACCCTCTGTGGGAATCCTCCAATGAGTAACACACACTCCCCTTTTGTATGACCTGCCCAGCCACGGCCTTCATCATCCACCCCTCATTCATGGACCCTTCAAATCACCCCAGACGCCCCAATACACCCTCCTGTCTTCACTGAGACTCTCCCCACAGCCTTCCCCCTACTGCCAGTGCATCCTCCCTAGGACCCCCCTCCAAACACACCGCCTGGGCACTCAATGCATTCCCAACGCCTCCATCCCATCCCGGCCACAAGAGCATCTCACCCCAAACTCTGGGTACAACTCGCGGTCCCTCTCCCCTTGCTGCGACCCTATCCAGCCCCGCGGCCTCACTCCCTGCAACGTCCCCAGCCCCACTGCTTCTCCCAACCCCACTACTCCTCCCAAACCCTCTCCTATCCCACACAAGGCGCCGGCCCCACCGCTCCCCCCAGCTCCACGCGAGACCCCGGCCCCATCCAGGCCGCCTCACCAGTACTTGAGGATGGCGGTGACCTGGAGCGGGTTGGGCTGGTCGGGGTAGAGACGGCGGCACTCGCCGTAGATACCGTGCAGCCCCGGCGGGAACAGCGACGGGAAGGACCCGGACGCGGAGCCCGAGCCGGACCCCGGCCCACCCGCGGGGGGCCCCCCGCCCTGCCGCACGCCCTCCATGTCCTGGAGACGACTGGTCCCGGCGGATCCCGGCTGGTCCCGACCCCGCTCCGCTCCCGCCCGGCGCTCCCGGCCCGGCCCGGCCCGGCCCAAGCGGCTGCGCGGGGCCGCGGGAGGAGGGGGCGGGGCCTGCTGCCGGGCGGCGTGACTGACAGCGCGGCTCGGCCAATGGCGACGCCGCGCGGGGCTCCGCCAGGAGGGGGCGGGGCCCCACCCCCCGGGCGCCGTGAGTGACGGCGCGGCTCCGCCAATGGCGGCGCGCGGCGCGGGGGGAGGCCGCGCCTCTTCTCCCCCCCGAGCGCGCCACGCCGCGAGCGCGCCCTCTAGCGGCGGAGCGGGGCACCGCGAGGGGCGGGGCGAGGGGGCATCGAGGGGCGGGGTCACGCAGGTGGGCGGGGCGATGCGATGGGTGGCGGTCGAGGGGCTCCCTCAGGGGGAAGGGAAACCCGTGTGCGAAGCACAGTGACGGTCTGGCTCGTTCCCGAGGTAAAACTATACTTGCAAAGCGTGTGGTTGGTTCGTGTTTGTAGTCCTATATACATAACAAATGTCTCCTGCAATTCACTGAGGTGATGCAACACTGGCCTTGAAATAATTTAAACCCCTCCACACTGCTGCCCCTCTTTTACAGTAGGTGAATGGTGAAGGGGACCCCTGGTGGCCTAGTGGTTAGCGTGCAGGACTCTCACCTCTGCGACCCAGGTTCGAATCCAGCCAGTCCCCCGGGCAGATGGAGCCCGTTAGCCCTGTAAGGCCATCCATCTATGAGAAGGTCACTCTAAACAAACCTACGTCCTGAGGACCTCACTGCCATTGTCCAAGCTTGCTTGGCCCCGGCAGATGAACCTTAGGATTAAAGGGTGGGCTCAGTTCAGCGCATGCTGTGTCTCACCTAAAAAATCCATTGCGCAGGCTGGAAAGGTAAAAGACCTTTCCCAAAATCTTCGTTCGTGAAGACTGGCCATTAAAAAGAATGGTGAAGATCCCTATAGAGATTAGGCTCTCAGCCTGGAGAAGAGGAGACTGAGGGGAGACCACATTGCAGCCTCCAAGTTCCTCATGAGGGGAAGAGGGGGGGCAGACACTGATCCCTTCTCTGTGGTGATCAGTGACAGGATCTGAGGGAATGGCCTGAAGTTGCCTCAGGTAGGTTTAGGTTGGATATCAGAATAAGGTTCTTCATCCAGAGGGTTGTTAGGTGCTGGAACAGGCTCCCCAGGGAAGTGGTCACAGCACCAAGCCTGACAGAGTTCAAAAAGCGCTTGGATAATACTCTCGGGCACATGGTGTGACTCTTGGGGATGGTCCTGTGCAGGGCCAGGAGTTGAACTCAATGATCCTTGTGGGTCCTTTCCAAGTTGGCCTATTCTGTAATTCTGTGATTGTCTGCTTGGGCTAAAGGCAGGAACGACAGGAGAAAAGTCCATATCTGCAGGAGAGATGTGGGACAGGACAGCTGAGTTCTGAATCAGCCTTCAGGTGCACTCACCGACATGGAAGTTCATTTTAATTAATTTCAAGACCCCGTGTTTCAGTCATCGATCATTTCAAGTGCTTTTAGAACATGTAGCCAATGGAAAACAACAGGAAACACATTGATGAACACCAAAATACCTGTAATGTGCATCCTTTATGCCAACACTTCTTTTTTGGTTGCCGTGCCTCAAAAATGCAGAGAAACTGGCCTTTCCCTGAGGCAACAGATGTGTTAGGACCAGCAGTTTGTAGAGATAATCCCATGAAATGATGGGACAATAAAACACTTTCCTTAGTCATAGATGTTCTCTCCGGAAGTTGACGGGATCACCTTTTTCTCCCTTCCTATGAGAAAAAATTAGCGTGCGAAAATCTATTAGGTGGAAACCCGCCAATTGTGATGTAGCGTTTTTGGTGGAAGTGCCCACTCCCCCCTTGGACCGCAACACCCACAGGTTTCCCGGCCGTGGATGTGTCCGGACCACTTCCTTTTTCCGAACTCCGCCTCCCGGCGCGCCCCGCTCCCGGCGCCGGACTACAACTCCCGGCATGCTCCGCGAAAGAAACGACGCCTCTCCGAGCGTCACTTTGCGCCGGACTACAACTCCCGGCAGGCGCCGCGGTCGCGGGAATACATCACCCAGGCGGCGCCGCGCCCCCACTCCGCGCGTGCGCCGGCGAGGGCTGGGCTGTTGCTCCCTGACGGGCGGCTGTGGCGGGTCCTCGCCATGGAGTCCTACGACGTGATAGCGAACCAGCCCGTCGTGATAGACAACGTGAGTGCAGCCGCCCGCGCATCCCGGGAGCGGGGGGAGCGGGGAGGGCCCGCAATCCCTTTGTCATCGGGGCTGGCCGCGCCCCGCCCGCCGCCGCCCCCCCCCCCCGGCCGGCCCGGCCGCCGCCTCCGGCCCTCGCAGAGCGCCGCACGGCGTCCTCGAGGGGCGGGGCTGCCGCGCTTCGGGGCGCCGCGATTGGCTGGGGCGGCTGCCAGTCACCGGCGGCGGGGCCGCTGCCCCGCGTTGGGGGGCGCAGCCCCCGCCACCGCCGGGCTACCACTGGCGGGGAGGGGCGGCGCGCCCCCATTGGCTGTGGCGGCTGTCAGTCAGCGGGGCGACCCGCTGGTACCTGCCGGAGCGGGGCGGGACCGCCGCGACAGCACCTGCGCTCATTGGCAGTGAGGGCTGTCAGTCACGCGGGGCTGCCCCGGCCCCGCCCCGCCGCTCTTTGTGCCGGGGGGACAATGGGGGTGCTGGGCCAGGCTATGGCCGCACTCCCGGCGTGCTCCGCGGCGGGATATGGCCGGGGGTCCAGCGGGCTCCTGTCAGGCCTTGGGTGGACCCCCACGCGCTCTGGGGGTCCCCGCTCTTCCCGTGGCCCGTGCGGGGCATGTAGCCCTGCATCCAAGTCCCCATCACAGCCTCAGCGGAGGGGAATACACCCCCAGTACTGCACTTCCTCCAGTGCATCCAGCACGGCAGTCACAGCGAGGGAGTGCCGCTCCCAAGGCCTGGATTTCCGTGCTCCTGAAGGATCTGCTCCCAGCACGGATTGCATCAGCTGTAATTTGACAGCGTGGTGTGGTGTTGCAGATGGCTGCTCCAAGCTGATGATACTGCTCATTAGCACAAAGCAGACCTGCACCTGTGTGGGCAATAGCTTGGCTGGAGATGAATGACAGTGATTCCATGCCTGGTACTTCTGGGTCCAGTTCTGATTTGCCTCATCCAAGCTGGCCTTCCAGGAGGAAGGACCATCCAGGAAGGGGTGGGAGGGCATATCTTGGAGGGAGCCTCCTCCAGTGTAGTGAGTCACAAATCCATGCTCCTCCCTTCTGACCTCTACTGCCAGGGATTCAGATTTTGTTGTTTTGAAGGGTCAGTATTGTGCTCCATTCTTTCTCCAAAAGCTTAATTTCTGCTGAATCTTTTTGCTGTATGACATGTGGACCTGCTAGCCTGGCACTTCTCAATTTATTGCTTTATGTTCCCATAAAGTGAATGATTGTAGGTGTTCTCAGATCAAGCCAGTTATTCTTCTGACCCCTTCTTTCTTATTGATCCCAATTTCCTCTCTACGCATTGATCTCTCTGATACAGTTTTGGCGTTGTTTCTTTCCCTGGAATCACAGCAGAGAGATTTAGGTTAGACACTGAAGGAAAGCATCTAATGGAAAATGAGATTAAGCAGTATAATTGACCATGTTGAGGAAAACATGTATCTCCTTTATTGGGGATATTAAAGAGTGTGTTAGGTTGATTCTTCTTAGAAATGACTGGAGCACCACCAATCCTGATGTGTTGTCAAGTGATTAGCTGACCATTAAAGTTATTTCTAGGCGTTCTGGTGCTGTGAGGATGAGTTTGTGGAGCTACGGTCACACAGTAACAGCCTGCATCTAATTTCAGCGTGTCCTCTTATTTAGCACAATGATTGCCACCCCTGCATCAGAGCTGAAGAAGGGCTCATATGCCAGCAGCTGACTCTGTGTCTTTTCTCATTTTATCAGCTGGTCTTATAAAAGCCAATTCTTCCTCTTGCCTCCCTGATAAGTGAGCTCCCTCCCTTCCCCTCCCTGCACAAGCAGTAGAATGGAGCAGTTGTTGTGACATCTGCCTCGAACACTTGCAGGCCGTGGGCAGAGGGGCCTCGTGGTGACTCTGCATTTTTGGTACTCTTTGGAGTTCAGGCAGGATGGGAAGTGGAGCTGCACAGAGCAGGTAATGGCGTTCCCACGGCTTTTCCATTGCTGCTTTTCCTCAGAGGGGTGTCTGTGGGAAGGTAGGAAGGGGTAAATGAGATAGTGAGCTGGTGAACAAGCTCGACCCCCTCCAGTCCCAGCTGTGCTCTGGTATCTGTGTGTTCCAAAAAGCCATTAAAGGATGTAGCTAAAAACTCAACAAGGAGGATTTTTTCCCTTCCCTTTACCAAACAGTGCTCCAGTTTTCAGCAGGGAGAGTTTTGTAATGTACAGTGAGAGGTTGGAGCTGTACCTCAGCACAGCCTTAATGTTCTTCATTGTCTAATTCTTAAGAGTTGTGTTCTTGTCTTGCAGTCCCAGAAGCTCTCTTTGTATGGTTTGGGAGCCCTGCTGAACCTTATGCACATGTAGATAGTTCAGAGGTGGTCTTAGAAAGTGCAAATTCCTTGACCTCTGTGAAATTATCCCTTGTTTCATAAAAAGAGGATAAAATTTGGCTTTGTAGTCTGAGTGGTGGCATTTAAGCAGCTGAGCTGTCAGTAAGGGCTGTTGTGTCTTTGGTTTGTTCTTGATCTTACAAAATCTGTATCTAATAAAAGAGTTTTACAAAAATATAAACGTGCACTCTCCGTAGAAAGTGCTATGCAGTAGATTGACTCTTGGTGATTTCCATTTAAATTCATGGATCAAGATGAATGAATCCATAACTGACTGGCTACAGAGCCAGAGAATGAGGCATGTTCAGTTACTTCATGGTAGTCACAAGAATTTTCCATGAATTTATCTTCCTTGACCTTTACATTTTACATCTAGTTTTTCTTCTTTTATTCTTTTGCTCATATTAAAGTAAAAAAATAAATAATAAAAAATTGGATGAAAGCCCAGGCAGGATAGTTACTGGTGGAAGCATATAAATTTGTTAATTTTCTTTTAAATTCTAGTAAATCAGAGTTTGTAGCAGAAGGGAAGATGCATGGTTTTTTTCTTATTTGAAACAAAGATGGAAAAACATGTCTTCAAACTTTCTGAATCAGGGTTATTTCAAAATTTAAATGTTTTCTTCACATTGTGTAGGAATCTCAAACTGGTCTATAATAAACACATTTACTCCGTGCACACATATCTGCAAAGAAGTAAAATGTTTTCAAGAAAAATTGAATAGGTCAGAAAGTGCTGTCAGGTCTTTGTAGTGTGGAGATAGCAAACAGCTGTGCTTGGTTTATTCCCAGGCACTTGGAAGCACAACTGTGTTGAAACCCCATCCTACCACATTCAAAGCAGTCACTTGTCTTTGACTCCAAGTAGGAGTTCTGAACTACCGGCACAGTCAGTTAACTTTGAACTTCAGTATGTAAATCTTAAAATACAGAACTTGCTGGGAATCTCAGCAGGACATGCTGGGTAATTTTTGGTCCAGCATAAGGAAGTTTTAATCTCTAAATTAAAATAGGAGCATCATTGTTCTCCTGAAACCAGTTCCCAGCAGCAGGCTGTGCTGGCAGCAAGATCAGTCATTATCTTGAATAAAATATTCAAGAAGTGCAATATTCTGATGTGGTTAAGTTACTGCATTCAGCTTGTTTGCTCTGAGACTTGACAAAGTATGGTACTCTTTCCCAGGTAGAGAGTTGTTTATAAGCTAGGATAAGAAAAATGAAAGTAGTGGTTTTGTTTTATTCCTTGCTTCACTGAAGGGAGTAGCCAGAAGAGAGTCTGTCTCAAGGGAACTCTTTTTAACACTTTACCGGCCAGTGTGACACTGGTATCAGTTAGTGCAGACCTTGTGATGCAACTGGAGCTGAGTCCCTCTTGCCAAGAGGGAGTAGTCCTGCCCAGATGCCGGCTTGAGTGTGCTCCTGGAGCCAGTCTGGGTGTTTATCAAGAGACGAGATTTCAAGCAATCTGCCTTCCATATGCTTTATGACTAGCTAGGTCTGGTCTGCAGAGTGTTCCTGACACTCATCTCCTACAGATGTCTCCTGGCAAACCTGACTCTGGTGGTTTCAAGGCAGGAGCGCCCTGGCTCACGTGACAGAGCACACATGCTCCATGCAAAGCCTGGCTTCCCGGCTGAAAATGCTGATGGAAGTAGCTTGGCAAGAAGGCGCTGGACTGAACAGGAGAGGCTGGGGACACCCCACATTCCTTTCTGCTGAGCCTGCTCTGGCTGGTGACCTCTGGCACTGGGATGGCGGAACCGCTGCAGCCAGGGCTTGGCTTGCAGAGCCCTGAACAACTTATCTGGCCTCAGCCTCCTGACCCATGCAGAGGTGGTAAGAAGCAGAAAGCTACAGAGGAGCTGTGTTGCCACTTATTTTAGAATGCTGTGGGGCAGCCAAAATGTCTTTTTGGCCTCAAAAACAGAGCAGTCCTGCTGCAGAACCCCTGAGAGCGAACAGCCACTTCAAAGGTCACAGCTTTCAGTGCAAACTCACACACTTTGCTCCCAGTATGGGGTAAAGCAGAATTGCTTCTCTTTCTGCAGAAGAGCTTGCTCCCATGGTAGTCTGGGATTAACAGTGAAATGGCTTATCCGAGGAGATCCTATGAAAATCCGCTCCTTACCAAACTTGGGTGTTCCTGCAAGCTGCTCATTGTTTCAAGATGTCATTCCCTTGTGCAGGGAGAGGAAATGGAGGAGGGGAAGGAGTCAGCACAGATCCAAGTTGATGATGGGGTTTCCAGGGTGCTTCCGGACAGGGACGGAAGCTGCAGGGCCAGATGCCCGGCACTGACTCCCTGCCAGGGCCTCGCTGTGGCTGGTTTTACCCACTCTGTGTTTGCTGCTTTGAATGTTGTAGAAGGCTCTTTGGATTTGTGCCTTACTGACTGCCATACCTCATCTCTTCTCCCTTATTCCTTCTGAACAAGCCATATTCCATCAGCTGCGTTTCCTGCCTCCAGCCTTTTCCTTTGCAGTCTGACCAGCACCTTTGTCCTTTGCAGACACCAGGCTGGGTTGGTTTCCAGTGTCTTTTCTGACCCCATTTCTGTGGCCTGCCTCCTTAGTGTTAGCTAGTTTATCTACCACTTGATCTTCTTTTCCCTAGTCTCCACTCAACCTGTTTCCCACAGTCCTTTCCTACTCCCTTCTCTGACTTTATCCACCTTCCCTCCATCCTTTCCAAGTCTGCTTCTGAGAGGCCTGTAGCCATCATCCTCCCAATACCCCCTGAAGCTGGCAGGGTTCGGTTGGACTTGCCTGACTTTCTGGAGTACTCTCCTCCACCCAGAGAGTAGCTGAGATTGATAGAAAACTGTGGAGCATGGATTCAGCCTCCTGCGTTTCTCACAGTAGCACTGGGTCTGTACAGAGCAGTGTCTGGGTGTGCGCATGGAGCAGTGCCAGTGCCCAGGTGGTTGTGCTGATATTGTGTGATGTGTCGCTGCCTGTCACACCCCTCCAGTGGCCAAGCTGGCACTTCCCATCCCCAATCCTGCCCAAAGAGTCAGTCCCTAGGGAACTTTATTCCAAGTAGAAGGGAGGGGATCCAGCAGTGCTGATGTACTTTGCTACTCCTCTAAAACTTGTGAGGATGATGGAGTGAATGATAAGCTCATGCATTTGTCTCTTGCTCCCACAGGGCTCGGGTGTGATTAAAGCAGGTTTTGCAGGCGATCAAATACCAAAATACTGCTTTCCCAACTAGTAAGTATTCTGCTGGTCTTGGTAAGTTCTTAGTACTGTGTACCAATTCTCTGATACATAAAATGGAGGAATGGTCCAGTTTTGTAATTGGAGAAATGAATTATTCTTTTCTGCCTGCTGCAAAGAAGCATCAGGGAGAGGAGATCTCTGCTATTAAGTACTTTGAGATTTTCGTTGGGGGACACACATCATAAAAGATGACTTATCACTTTGTCAGGTTCAACACACAACCAAACCTGTAGGATTCTTTAGACTGTAGACATAAGGAAAAGAACCTGGAAAAAGTCAAAGCTGGGATGAGAGGTGTGAAGACCTCTGTATTTCTTTGGTGGTCCAGTATCTTGATTCCTGACAGACTTCCTTGGAAGTTTTCTGAGAGTTTTGCCAGGATGAAGACTGCTGGATCAAGAACTCTAATTAGTCACTGGCTTTTATTTTCAGTGGAGTAGATTTTTAATGAGTAATTTTTAATTTGTGTTCCAAACAGTGTGATCTGTAGGAGGTGGTAGGGTATGGGACCAGAAATGTCTAATCTCAGAAGCCTGCCTGAGATCAGGCAGCTCCATGTGGATCTGTCAGCTCAGACAATTGCTCAGTCTAGCCATGTTCATCCCAGGCACCATTGGAACAGGTAAATCCTGAGTCATCAGCAGAAATGTGGCCAGACTCAGATGGCTTATGTCCCACCAATTCAAAACTCTCTACAATCTGTTCTCTTCACCTCTGATTCTGACATTAGCTTCGGAAACCTGGGTTTGTCTGCACCTTGTAGTGCCCCCAGACCCACCCATTGCTTTAGAGAGTGTGGTTAGGACGGAGAGGAACACAGAGTACATAATGCTTTGGTGCATCTGAGCCCTCCGTAGAAACATTTATACTCTTGTCTCTGTTCCAGTGTGGGCAGACCAAAGCACGTTCGTGTTATGGCTGGTGCTTTAGAAGGGGACATTTTCATTGGTCCAAAGGCAGAGGTAAGAACACCTGTACACTCTACTTCTCCATATATCTCTGTATGATGCTGTAAGGAGGGGCTGTGGTTCCATGGTATCAGTGTTAGACCTGAAGAACAGAACAGTGTCCAAGGTGGAGTGGGAAGCTTCATGAAATTCTTGTGCCAATCTGCTGACCACAGACCTCATTCCCAAGACCTTCTATATCTTTTTTTTTTTTTTTCTAGGCTACTTCTAGGTCTGTATCATTACATCCCTATCTTTTTGACTGGGAACTTTAGAAATGGACCCTACTTGATTGCCTTTATCTCCCTGGCATGGACACGAAGCTTGCTTTCCACAGTTCTGTTTCTGTCAGCACGTAGTCATATGGTCTCACACTTCTTGTGAGCCCTCTGAACTGCATTCCCCAGTACCACCATTTGATAGGTGTCTGTGTGTTGGCTTGAAAAGTTTTAGGATGGAATGTGCTCTGCAAATGTCAGACTTTTCTACTTGCTATAAAAAGGCCTTGTCTAATCTCGTGAATACTTCTCTGGGAGAGATGTTTGTGATTAATTTTCAGATTTTTCCCTGTATGATAGAGATAAGTTATTTTGTAGTGGAACCCAAACTCAAGTTGAATCTGACATTAAATCATAGTCAGAGGGCTCAGAAATGTGATTGAGTTTCTTGATGTTCCCTTGTCCTTTCTGTTTGCTCAGGAGCACAGAGGTCTCCTTGCGATCCGATACCCGATGGAGCATGGCATAGTGAAGGACTGGAACGACATGGAGCGCATCTGGCAGTATGTGTATTCTAAAGACCAGCTTCAGACGTTCTCAGAGGAGGTGAGAGACCTCATTATGTAATGGCACAGGTGTCATTCAGTGCATGTGTAACACCAGGAGCCTTGGAACTCTGGGACTTTTCCTTTGCCCTTCTCTCTAAATGTGTGTCTGTTGTTAAATTAGGTTCTTTCACCTCTCAGGCGATACTGCACAAGAAGTTCCAAGCAGAATTCCTCTCCTGAAATGATGTTCTGGCCTGACTGAAAATCTACCTTTCACATTTTCTATTCACACTCTCTAATGATTGTGCTCTAGGCCAAGTGCTTCTAACCTTTCCTGTTCTGCCTGCACATCAGGCATATCCACTCAGCAGTGACATGATTTGAAGTGAGGAAGGAGAAAACCACACACCTGTGGTCTGGAAGGATTTGACCAAAAGATTATTACGTGTCTGAGAGTATAAATTGTATAAGTGGAGTAGAAATATTTCTGCCTGCTCGTACTAAGACCACGTGCCTTCACCCTTTCTTGAGGTCTGTGTATTTCAGCTAATCTGACTGACTTCTGCCACTGAGAGTCTTGTTTGTCCTTCTTGGAGCAGAGTTACTCACAGAGTATGATTCCTAGCACTTCTTAATTAGACCAGAACCCTGCTGGTCTTCCAACCTAATCGAGATTATTCACAGTCTAATACAGCTCAGTAGCTCAAATGATTCCTTTCTACCTGTCCTCTTGCACCAGTGGTTCCAAAAGTGAATAAATAAACAGAAATTTTCAGGAACACACCCCTAGCTGCCTCCTGGTTATTGCAGCACAGCTCCTTCTTCTCTTTGCCAGCATCCTGTGCTGCTGACGGAAGCCCCCCTAAACCCGCGCAAGAACAGAGAGCGTGCTGCTGAGGTGTTTTTTGAGACCTTCAATGTGCCAGCACTGTTCATCTCCATGCAAGCTGTGCTTAGCCTGTAAGTGTCTTTTGTCTTTGATTTGTGTTTGTGGAATGTTGCTGTGAAATCCATTCTTTTACAAACCAAAAAAAACCCGTAGAAGATCTCACTGATGTCTGACTTGTCCTCTTTTCATGTAAGAACTGAAATTCAGTTTTTGTAATTAAGAGTTTTCAGGAATTTGCTGAGCTGTGATGAGAACTCAGTTTTTGATGGTTTTTTTAGCCTCTGTTCATGTGAAATCTCTGCTCCCTGAGTTGAGTGCGGATGTGCTGCGTGCTTGGGCTCACTTTGAGTTGCTTGTTCTGACTTGACCCTTTGTCCCTGTGTAGCTACGCGACCGGGAGGACCACAGGAGTGGTGCTGGACTCTGGGGATGGCGTTACTCACGCGGTTCCCATCTACGAAGGCTTTGCCATGCCCCACTCCATCATGCGGATTGACATCGCTGGCCGCGATGTCTCACGCTTCCTGCGCCTCTATCTCCGGAAGGAAGGCTATGACTTCCATACCACCTCTGAATTTGAGATTGTCAAGACCATCAAGGAGGTGATGCCCTGTCTTGTTTCTCTTTATCCAAGAGGGTATTTCTTCTCAAAGGAAGTTGTGACTTGTGGAATCTGGTGGGAAGTGCCAGCCTACTGAGCTCTGCACCTAACTCCATTATCTACCTGGGGGAGTCCAGGGTCACTAAGATGATTAAAGGACTGGAGCATCTGTTGTATGTAGGAAGGCTGAGAGAGCTTGGACTGTTGAACCACGAGAAGAGATGGTTGGGGAGGGTCTCATCAAATATAAATATCTGAAGGGAGGCTGCAGAGAAAACAAAGCCAGGCTCGTTTCAGTGATGTCCAGTAATAGGACAAGATGCACAAACTGAAGCACAGCAGGTTCTGTCTGAACATAAACTTTTTTAGCGTGAGGGTAATCAAGTGCTGGCACAGGTTGTCCAGAGGGTTGTGGAGTCTCCATCCTTTGTGATGTTAAAAAGCCACCTGGACATGGTCCCAGACAGCTAGCTGTAGGGGACCTTTCTTGAACAAGGTGAGTGGACAGGATGACCTGCAGACATCCCTTGCAACCTCAGCCATCCTGTATTCTGGGTGAGTTATAGTCAAGGTCACTATAATCACTACTGAGGGGCTGTTAACATGGAGGTGAAGATGGGCTGGTGGTTTAGAATCCATTTTGTGTTTATCCATGCTGCAGTTTCCCTGGATCTGATGTCTTTCACTACCGTTTGTTTACCCTTCAGGGCAAGGGTCTGCAAAATCTGTGGCAGGTAGGGACCACAAGTGGGATATTGCAAGGTATTTTACCTGATGTGAGCCCAAAATGTCAGTTCTTCAACACAAAATACTGTTGAAATTGGTCTCCCCAAAGGGATACATGGATTTTGATTATTAGTGAGAAAAATATTTTACCAGAGGTATATGGGTTATCATCTCCCTCTCCCTGACTGTTTCCTCTCCAGCGTGCCTGCTACCTGTCAATAAACCCCCAGAAGGATGAGACTCTGGAGACTGAGAAGGCTCAGTACTACCTGCCAGATGGAAGCACTATTGAGGTTTGTAAGGACCACCCTGGGAAAATTCCTCATGTGAAGCACAGGGTTTCCAGAGCAGCCTTCTACCTAGTGATGGGAAATTTCATGTGGTGTTAGGTGGCAGGGGATAACTTTAAAAGACCAGAACTCATCCCAGGCTGTTGAACTGGACACTAGAATTTTTAGGGAAAGAAAACATGAGAAACCTTAACAACTTCTGGAAGTCCTGGGTAAGGATGCAGCATGACCATGAGCTGTTTGAGTGCAGGCTCTGATCTAGCAAAACTATATGCAGATCATTTGTGGAGTGTGGGTGGTTGTCAGCTCACTAAATTCAGCAGTGGTTTTATTTGTGGCTTTTGTCCTGCCTAGAGTTGTTTTCTGTGCAGGACCAGTTGCTTTGATTAGTGAGTTAGGAATATTCCTCAGAAGACTGAGCCCACTATAGAATAGTTGAAGGAGAGGAAATACAGGTCTTACCTCCAGTACCAGGGCTGGATTTGCTCCCTTTTTGTTAGTGACATGCTGTATAGAGCTCAGCAAGCTTCTTTGTCTCTTTCATCTACAAAATGGAAATGGTGCCCTTTGTAGGAGCAGTATTGGCATTCACTTGGGTTCTAGTGATGCAGCATGAACGTCCAGGAAACTTCATTACTCTGAAGTTTCACCTAAGAAAGGCAGGCCCAGCTGTAGGCAGTGAACAGAGCCACATTGCTCTCTTCCCTCTGTGCTAACTTCTCTTGCAGATTGGCCCTGCCCGTTTCCGAGCCCCAGAGCTCCTATTCCGGCCAGACCTGATAGGGGAGGAATGTGAAGGACTCCATGAAGTACTTGTTTTTGCCATTCAAAAGTCAGACATGGACCTGAGGCGAACGCTGTTCTCCAACATCGTGCTGTCTGGAGGATCCACGCTTTTCAAAGGTTCCTGCCTCTTCTCTTTTTGTGGGCTGTGACATACTCTTGCTTTCTTCTCATGTGAAACTAGGAAGATAACCCAGATCACCCAACTTGTCCTGTGGGGTGAGGACTGTGGGAACTCTGCTCTCTCAGGGCAGTTACTGCCTGATTTTTCTGAGTCCTAATCACAGTCTTTCTGGGTATGCTAGACACCTCTACCCTCGTACATCACTTCCTGGACTTAAGAGCTTTTATTGTTTTCCTCCAACATCTCTGCCTGTGTCAGGGCTGAATAGCTGTGTTCATTCTTTTGCTGTAGCTTACGATATTTGAGGCTAGGTACCTGAAAGGCTCCTGCATCTCCTAAGGTTCCTTTAGGTCTGTGGTGTGGAAGAATCCAACAGTCCTGGTCCTACATGAAGTGTCAGCTATGTGTGTGCAGAAAGGTTTCTGCCCATCCCCTCAGGGCTCAGCTGATACTCACTGACCTAAACATAACCCTCTGCCAGAACCCATCAGTCTGTTATCCACAGGTTGACATCTCCAAATAGGTCCTTCCCATTCAACCCCCTGTACAAATGGGCTGTACAGAGGAGGAATGCCTAGGGAAGGAGGAGGTCCTAGCTAAAAACCTTGTTTGCTTGACTCAAGTTGCTGCTGAGGGAGAGCCCACTGTGCCAGTGTTTGATGTCTCAGTGAGACAAAATCCCATTCTCTCACTGGCTGTGTTATGTGCCTCCCCAGACTTAGTCTCTCTGTAAGATATGGAGTGGGATATTTGAATAGGGCTACACAGGACATGTCCACATTGTTAGTGGATGGAACCTGGGATTTTGCAGAGGTGCTCACATTACACATTTTGTCTCCTGTAGGCTTTGGTGACAGGCTGTTGAGTGAAGTGAAGAAACTAGCTCCGAAGGATGTCAAAATAAGGGTAGGAGCAATCTCTTGTGTTTAACACTTACTACCTGTGTTGTTCTGTGACCTTGAAAGAACCTTGTTGAGAGTGCAGCTGCCATTTGCTTCAAACCAGAAATGACTTAACTGGGACAGCCCACCAATTTGCTGTTGTGTTGAAAACAAGTTTGGTTTCATCACTGAGTAGGTGGCTTCTCTGACAACATGACCCCTGTCCAGGATCCTGGACTACAGTGGCTGTTTTTGGGGGGACTGCCCAGGTGTCTTTCTGTTGGGAGAGATCATATCTGTGTTTGTCAGGCATTAGCTGGAGCAAAGTAGGGACAGTGTGTCAGGGAGAGCAGACTGGAGCTCAGGAAGGTACTGACTGATTCTCTCTTTCTCTCAGATATCGGCTCCTCAGGAGAGATTGTATTCCACATGGATTGGGTATGTACTGCACAGCAACATGTCTTGCTGTGGGAGGGGACTGGGGAGAGGCAGCCCATTGTCTCCGATGCTGTTGTCCCTCCTGGTGCTGTGTGTCAGGAGGGTTTTGTTGCTCAGCTGGGTGATTCTCAGTGTGTTTCTGGAGCAGCAGTCAGCAGGTTGTGTGGGAGGGGGCAGCTGGTGCCAGGCTCTGTAGCGCCAGCACGTTTGTGGATAGCAGGAGGGGGAGTGACTGTGCAGAGAGCATTTCTGTCACAGGTAACTGTGAGCTTCAGCACCTTTCTCACGTGGGCAAGTGTCATGATAGAAACAGCCCATCTCTGCAGAGATACGATGACAGTGCCCCCAAAATTTTCCTCTAACCCATAGCATGCCTGTCTCTCCCCAGTGGCTCTATCCTGGCCTCTCTGGACACCTTTAAGAAAATGTGGGTTTCGAAAAAGGAATATGAAGAAGATGGAGCTCGTGCCATCCACCGAAAAACCTTCTAGCCCTGGGACCTGTCCTCCGTCTCCTCCGAAGACTCACTTAAACTCGCTTTTCTGAGTCTGAGTGTCTGAGAGCTGCCTGTGTGTGTGTGTGTGCGCCAGCATGCCCCGATGTCACTGAGCAAAGACAACAGCAGCAGGAGGGTTGTATTAGTACTACTAACTTTTTTATTTTATTTTTTTTGTTGGTTTTTGGGTTTTTTTCTAATGGAAAGGAGAAAGTACCAATCTTAATTTCTCCAGAATGGCCCATTCCTTTTTCATTTCAGTCCTTTATTTTCTGTATCACAATCACATCTGTCACTGTAAAACAAACAAGCAAAAACAAAGGGAACAGCTCATAGAAACTGCCTGGCAAGCCAGAAGGGAGCCAACCACTGCAGACTGCTCGTGCAGGCTTTAGTCAGCCTAACTGCAATGCCTGGATTGTCTGGAAACACATAGCTGAGACCCCATAGCTACTTCCTTCTTTAGCAGTGTCTTCTCCATCAGTAGGTTTTTGAAGTTGTTTTTAATATATTTTTTATTAAGAGAAAGCACATTTTCAACAGTTAAGCCCATTTGCCCCCACTGTTTTTGGTGTGTGAGTGCGTGTATGCGTGTGTAACTTCTTAGCCTGATGTGGGGTCTGCACCACAGCTGGAGAAGTTGGCGATAGGACTTAGTTTGTATTGCATGGAGTAGAACAAAGCAAATCTAATCAGCTATCGTTGTACTAGACGGTTATTCTCTCGTATCTTGTTTTAAATACCTTTTCTCCTCTGGAAGCAAGTGCCCCGGAATGGGCGTGAAGGCACTTGTGTGTTCCCCCTCAACCTGCCAAGATTTACAGTGCTGACTTCTCGTGTTCTTTGTAAGAGTCGAGGCTGTTTCCCTCCTTCCTGCCATGTCAGGGCAAAGGGAGCATGTATTCACAGCCAGGCATAACTCTTGTGTACTTTATCCATTCTGGGGCAAAATAATAATTGGGAAGGTGCATTGTAATGTAAAAATTGTTTTATTTATTGAAATGTCTGAGGATATCTCAAATACTGACCACAGCACCTGGGAATTATGCTTTGGGTCTTCTTTAAACACCTGTCACCCGGGTGTTCGATGTTCGCACTGCGCACGGCACACACGCTTAGCGGAACGGCCAGCCCTGCACCACCACCCCTCGCTGTTCTCTGGGAGCGCACCAAAGGAGAGGACGATAAACTCCACCAGGAGGTTGGTGTGAGTGGCAGGTTTGTGAGCAGGAAGCTGTCCAGCTGGCTGTGTTCTGCTGCACTGTGGTGCCTTTCTGCTCACCTGGTGGCTGCTTTGCTTCTACTGCTCTAACAGCCATGGGCAGCCTGCAGACCCGCTTGTGTTGGGGCATGCCACTGTTTCCCCTTTAGGTTTCTCTTGTGCATTATTCGGTGCTCTTTCCCCCCCCATTGTTAGTTTTCTGCAGAACCTGGCAGTAGCAGTGGAGCTGGAGTTGCTTGGTGGCAGTTCCTTTCTGTTCATCACCAAACATCACCTTGGGGTCACTCCTGGGCACAGAAATGGTGTAAGAGCTGTAGGACTGCCACAGGGGTGAGGGTAAAGGCCCAGCTGAGAAGAATGTAAGCAGCAGGTGGTTGCCACTGCAGGAACCACATTCTTGGGGCTCACCAGTGGGCTCAGAGAGGCTGTAGGCAGGCGGTTGTGGTGATCTTTCCCAGCTGAGGCCAGGCTGCTTGTTCACCTACCCCCATCAGAGCAGACTGTTTTTTAAGCAAGAATCGTCAGTGCTCAGCCTTCTGCTGGAAAATCAGTTCCGTTCTTGCTGGTTTGCTGCAGTGCACAGAGGGGAGGCAGCAAACCCCTCTCGGTTCCCTGATGTGCCCCAGGCAGTGCCAGTGCTCTCCCTGCCCCCCAGCCCCTCTGCTGGCCTTGCAGCAGCAATGCTCCATTTTGTAACCTGCAGTGACTGGACAGAATGGTGCTGTATCCGGTCTAGCGTGCGTTTGGTCTGCCTGACTGTTCCCTCGCACACTGTCCAAACCATGTTGCCTGGTGGTGCCCAGCATACTTAAATAAAATCATTCATATACAACCCTCAAGCCTCCTGGCCTCATGTTCCCACATTTGCAATTTTAAGGAGGTAATAACTTGTGTTCTTCTCTGGCCTGTGCAGAATTGTTGCTGGCCAGACTCTGCAAGGAGACACCATCTCTGGTCCAGGACTGCATTCCTGGCCTGGCTTTTGAGCTGAGTTAGAAGCTTCCTGGGCTGCAGCTGTGGTGTCCAAAGGTGCTCTCCCTCCTCCGCAACTATTATCTCTGAGATCCCTGTCATTGCAGGCAGAAGGACTGGGGGAGGCAGTAAGGGCAGCCCAGGCTGAGTAGGGATGAGGGCAGTGATGCCACTGTCATTGTGAGGGGAGCTGTTGCCAGCCCAGGTGTTTGCAGAGAACTAACGTGACAAGCTGTGCTGGCAGGGTGGGCCTTGGAAAGGTGGCACTGTGCCTTGTCCTCAGCAGAGGTGTAGGAACAGGACAGACCTAACCCTGGGGCCTTCCAAAGCAGAAGGTAAGTGACACCTCCCCCCAAAAGGCAGCAATACCCACCCCAGCCCACTGATCCCCTCTGTCCCTTGCAGAAACAGCCAAGCCCCAGCACAGAGTTTTGTGGGGAGGAGCTCTCCCCTTCTCTCCACACAGTCACAGCTGTGCCCCACAGCACCACATGCACTTGGCCAGGTTAGAGCCACCAGCTAGAAGAAAATCATTAAGCAATTCAGAAAAAGATCATCTTTAATTTATGAAATGAAGAATCATTCTCGAACTTGGTTAGAAGTTGCACAAATAACTTATGATTGAACCATCAAGAGCTACAGAAGCCTCATGGCAGGAATGTCTTGGTCCAAGACAGAAGGCAGCTGTGTCCTGAGGCAAGATAGCAGGTTGGCAGGCTGAGACCCCAGAGGGAACCTGGCACTAAAAAAAGAACAGCACATCCCTCATTGTGCAACAACACTGCCTGCCTACCCTCTTCCTCCTGCAGCAGACAGACTTTGGCACATCCCTTCTGCCTGCTCCCAAACATATAACAGGGATTGAGTAGACACCCCCTTACCTCAGGGACCCCTATGGGGATTACCTGTCCCATCTGTTCCCAGCCAAAACCAGGGAGACCAAAACACCTGCTCTCCTTGGATCCCTGTCTCAGCAGCCAGGTGAGATGATCAAACTCTGGGGCACTGTTTAAAGCACAGAGGAGCTGAGGTGTCTACCTCTCCCCACGGCTGTAAAATCTCAACCCTGTGACTGCCCAGCATTGTGTCAGACAGGCTCCAACGAGAAACTGAAGGCACAAAAGCAAGACCTGGTGTTCCTCCAGGCTGTGCTCTGCAACAGGGGACAGTGCCAGGCTGCCTCACCAGGTCATGTGGGATGGCCCTGGGCAGGGAGGCACTTCCATTGGCTCATTTAGGGGTTGGTTCCCTGACCTGTGCCAGCATGGGAGGGGGCTCATGGCACAGCTGTGTGACAGCACTGAGTGGAAGGGACTGTGGAGGGGAGAGGAGGGATAAACATAGGCAACAGGATGCCCACTAAGACGATCCAGCTCAAGGCTCTGAATCCAGTTCAAACCCTGCACCTTTCCCAGGCTGGCAACAAGGCCTTCTGCAAGGCCACAAAGGACAGAACCTCAGCATAAAACACAGCCAGCAGATCCTGCCTGTGCAGGATATTGTCCTGGAAACAAGAAATGTTGAAGAGTGGATTTGGTCCAAGAACTGCAGCACTGTATGTGGGAGGGTTGTACCAGTTACTGGGAAAGGCCTTTGAGGTCCTCTCATCCCTGCTCCTGCTGTTCTACCATCATCCCCTCAGTCACTTAGTCCCTCAGGAGCCTCCCACTCCACTCCCCAAAGCTGCAAGGCTCTAGCAAGGAAGGACTCCCGGTGCACTCTCCTCCTGCTCAGCCAGAGGCTGTGGCTCCCCAGGGCCATGCCCAGGGTAAAAGAGTGCACTGGGGACGTGCCTGCCTCCAGCACACACTGCAACCCAGCACCTCCTCACTGGAATGAGCAGCTCTCTCCTCCCTGGAACAGGCTGGGATAAAATATTCTTGCTCTTGTGGCCAAATGATCTATCCCAGGCCCCTCACATGCTGAACTTTTCTGCCTTCCACAGTGACCACCTCCTGGAAGGAGAAACAGTTGGCATCACAGCGTTTCACAGTTGAACCGCAAACACCGGGCTTTCTCAGCCTGCCATCCCTGCGTTTCGCCTGCCCTCCGGCACCAGCCTCGAACCAGCAGCACCCCGGGGGCTTGAGCACCCCTAGATTGTTTTGACCTCTGGTGCTCGGCCTTGAGTCAGGCTCTGCCGCTGAGCCTTCACCATCTGCAGCCGCTTCCCGTGCAGGCTAAACTGCGACCAGCTGAGGAGCTGCAGCAGCGCACAGGTGATGGGCACAAAGACGAGGAGGTAAAAGCAGCCCTGGCGAAGAGTTGGCTCCAAGGCCACAGCAGACTCCAACTTTGGCTGGGCACTCACCATGTTGCTCAGGGGGTTGCGCTGGAAGATGTCGTAGCCTGGTGTCAGAGAAGAGTTTGTGAGACTGGGGACAGTGGGGGTGGACCCTCGTCCATTCTCTCTGAGTGACTGGTTGTGGAAAGGCAAGGACCAGGCACAGCTCAGCCACTGGACCTTTGTCCCCAGGGGACAGGACACTGAACTCATAGGTCTGCCCTCTCCTGCCCCCTGCTTTCCCCAGGAGCGTCCTTACCTGTGTATGCACAGAGCAGCCAGGTGCCGATCAGAGGGGCAAAGGTCTGGCCTGGCTTGGTGACCAGAGCCACCATCCCAAAGAGCAAAGCTGAGGCTGCCTGTTTCCTACGGTTTAGGACTAGATCCTCATCCACCAAGTCGGTGACCACCAGGTTCAGCAGCTTACAGGTCCCTTCTGTGAACACACGGTTGCTGCAGAACAACAGGCAAAGCACTGAATAGGGGTATCAAGAAGTGACAGGAATAGGTGAGAGATCAGAGAAAACAGAGTGTGAGAAAGGTTTCTCCACACTTTAAATAAGAATTTCAGAAGCCCAGGTTACAGGAGGGGAACACCACTAGCAATAAGACTTTGTACCCTGCAGCAATGCCTTGGATCATTCCAGACCTGCCACACAGACAGGCCTGGGGAAAGGACACACCAGGCCAGGGGCTAATGGGCAGCTGCAGCACACACTGAGGGCTGTGGATGAGGAGAGGAGCTCTCAGCAGCTGGGAAAGGCTGCTGCAGGTTGCTGCCAGTCCAGCTGGTCTGTGCCCTCCTGAACATCACTGCCTCCCTCACAGCCAATAGATTCCAGGGACCCATCCCATATGCTATCAGAGCTGGAAATCACATGGGTTATGTGTGACCCCGGCTACTGTTCCCAGCCTCCCACCCCTCTCCTTAAAACAGGGGCAAATAATTTTGCTTCCCAAGTGGCAAAGGGCATGGGAAGCAAGTGCTGCCTGCCTACCTAGCAATGAAGATGCAGAGCAGATACACCTGGTCAGGTCCTGCCAGGAGCATGACAACACTCAGAGCCAGCTTCAGGAAGAAGAGTCCTCGCACTACAGCGTAAACTCCACAGCGGCGGCAGAGCGACAGGAAGTAGAGGTTGTTGAGATGGGGGGCGATGTAGGAAACACCTGAGCAGAGACAGAGGCACAGACAGCTCAACGGAGTTTCAGTTTCCACCATGCCCCCAGGTCTAATACTGAGAGTAAGAGAACAAGGCTGGCTATTGCCAGCAGGACTGTAGGACACAATACAAAGCATCCCCTATGCACATACAGAAGGCTGCAGGAGATTTACTCTGTGGCTTCATGGCACAGCACACACTTTCCTACAGAGGGAGGCCTTCTTCCATCAACCTCACGGGTAGGAAGGAAGAAAAGACTTGCCCAGTGTCACACAGAAGCTGTGACTGGAGCAAAAATCAGAAAGACAGAACTGCCTGACCAGACCTAGGCTGCACAAAACCCTCCCAGGGTAACTCTAGGATCACTGCCCACATATCTGTGGCAGCCTGGAAATGGTCCACATGCTGTAGAGGGAAAGGGTTTAAATTCAGGGCTCTGTTCCCTGCTGCACCCTGGGGACACTATCTGCAGCCTCTAATGCTCAGAGCAATACCTCCGTGGAGTCTGACATCCAGCATGCCAGGCTTGTTATTACTAGAAGAGGCCCCAATTTACTTCTATGCCCAGGAAGGACAACTTGGAGGTCCCAGGGAAGCATGTGGGCTGTGTGCATGTGTGAATTTTACAGCCCAGCGACCTGCATGTGAGCACACCTCTCCCTAGACAGAGTGTGGGAAGAGCAAACCCAGACTTGGGCCAGGTCCTACCTAACTCAGCTGCTCCCTCCAGTCCCACCTGAGACTCACCGAGCAGGAAGGATCCAGTAGAGACAGAGATCTGGTCTGACAGCAGGTGCTCCAGGAACAGAGGGAAGAAGTTGCTGTTAAAATGGCAGTGAAAAACCTGTGAAGGCAGCATGCAGACGAGCTGGTCAGCAGGAACAGCAGTGAGAGAGAACAGAAAAAGCTAACAGCCCTCTGAGCTCCGTTGTCCTAGAAGCCCCATGCCAAGGGACCATGCAGGATGGACCTGGAGTACTTCAGCAGAGCAAGAGCTTGGTTGTGGAGTTTCTGGCACTGTCAGCTGAGATTGCAAAGCTGCCATGCCCCCAGCCATGCCCACCATGTGCCCGGGGTCAGCACTGCTGTCCAGCTGCCGAGGCTTGGCTCGCACAGCACAGTGCTGTTGGGACAGGCAGGGCCAGCAGGTGACAGCAGTGACCACGAGGCTTTGGGGACACAGTGGCATGGCAGGAGGGAGGAGGCTGCTGGCAGGACACAGATAAGGCGGCAGCAAGACTTGAACACAAAGATGCAGACCAGCATCAAGAGCCTGCCTGAGGGGAACTGAGGGATCCCCAGGGAGCCATGACTGCAGCACACAAAGCTGGGCAGGCTGCCGAAATTTGGTAGTAATCACTGAAGAGGATGAAGAACAGAAATGGCAAAGCCAGCTGGGAGGTAGATCCAGCT